TCAATCGCGAGCAGTGTTGGGTGGTGAAGTAGAGAAAGATGGAGAAGGCATCAGCGTTGGATAACCCCCGGCAACTATTTAGGCTTATTAAGGGTACCGGCAAAAAGAAGACGATTGTTAATGAAATCAACCCCGAAGAGATAGAACACTGACAACCTCCCAGGACAAGCGGCTTGAATTCTGGGCGGAACGCTTTGAAGCACAGTTCAACGGGCCTTCAGAAACGCTTCAGTTGCCCAATATCCTGCGTGAATGTCAGGCAGATGTTAATCCATCAACTCTCCTCGATTTTAGGAAAGCTGTGTCAAACCTGAAACGATGCGAAACGGTAGGACGTAACAGCTTGCTGTCCGAAGTTCTCAAGGATGGAGGTAGAAAATTGCTAATTAAAGTGACAGAGGTATTGTGTATATGAGAATCAAAGGTACTGCCGTCAAACTGGTCTACTTCTCTGGTCATCATAATCTATAAGAAAGGAAAGAAGTCTTCCTGTGATAACCATAGGGGAATTAGTTTTACTAATATCGTGTCCAGGACCCCAGAAACCATGGTTATCCAATATCTGAGTTGGGCTCGAGAACAGCAAACTCGAGAAAAGTAGGCAGGTTTCAAACCTAGACTAGGTACATCGATCATATTCCCATCCTCCGACAGGTCCTGGAACACAGGCATACATTCCATCGACCCATAATTGCCATATTTGTTGACCTGAAGGCAGCTTTCCACTGTATCGACCTCGAGGTGTTGTGGCAGTGTTCGACTGTAAAGGGAGTACCGAGCAAGTATATAATGCGTTTTGCACCTGTCAACTATAATATGGTTCTCCAGGACTGGTCTGCAACTATGCCTCCACCAACACTCACACAACTACCCAGAAAACACGAACTGTTTGGCTACCTCCAACGGCTCGTAACCAAGAGAAAATACTGGAATAGGCTCCTGCTAGTCTTGCAAAATTACTTTGCACTTCTATGGTGCAAAACACATACTACACTTACGGACACTAATCGCCAACTGACTAAGTGCGATGTGAGTAGCCTGTGTTATTGCACGGTAAGACGATATTCAAGGTCGAATAGCCTTTCTTCCGGCAGTATATCAACACCAGCATAACGCATCTCCTTCAAATGTGCCTCAAGAATGTCATCGATAGAAAAGTTAAAGTGGAATGGAGAAATCAGGCAACCCTGCCTAACCCCACTGCTGGTTTGGAACAGTTGAAACAGATGCCTTCACTCTACCTGAAGTGTTATTATACAGGGCTTTCAGGATGTTAATTGATTTCTCAGGCATGGCCCTCTCTAACAGACAGTTCTAGAGTACAGCTCTGTCCAGCGAATAGAAGGCAGCCCTATTGTCAAGAAACACAGCGATTTTAGACCTGCAATACGTGTGGTGATGTTCAAGCATTTAGCGGAGAGTAAACAGATGATGAATGTATCCATGAATTGAACGAAACTCGGCCTACTCCTCACGAATCTTTTTCTCATCCGTTTTGCAAAGTCTGCGAAGTATGATAGCAGCCAGTGTTTTTGATGCGACTAGTAGAAGATCTGTTCCGTGATGATTGTCACATACATTGCGTAGACTCTTTTTAGAGATCACTTTATTCCACAATGGTGAAACACTCAGTGTGCCATACCTTCTGAAACAATCTAGTCAGTTACCTGACTGTAGTCGTTTCCCCATCCTTAAAATGAGTCGAGGATTAATCGTCTGGGTCGGGTGCTTTGTGGCGTTTCAGAACTTGGAGTTCCTATTGAACTCTGCTTTGTAATGCGGGTCAGTGTTAACTAACCATGGAACACGATACACTGAAACTGAAGATGCGGGAGCTATGGGCCATCTAAACTGCTTATCGAAGTGCTCCACCCAGCGTTTCAGACGTCTTTGAAGATTGTTTATCGGCGTACCATCTGCCTCATAGACCGTCTCATTGACACCAGGCTTCTTGGTGTTCATGACTCGGATGAGCTAGAACAGCTTCTGACTATTACCAGATGCAGCTGCTGCTTCCATCTTACTCGCGCGTTCTGACCACCAAACCTCACAGTGCACGTGTAAGCGTTATGTAATCTTTCGCGTAAGAGACTAACGTGAACCACTGTACTCACTGTCCGCCGAAATAGTCCGACGGGCGTCAAGAAGCTGCAGGAAGCTGGTAGAGTCTCATTATTTATCAGCGGTACGTCCTTCCAAACCGCAATCAACTTTACTATTTTCATGGTGTCTTGCAAGTGCAGGCATTGCTCGTTTACACTTTCTGGAGGATTGGTAGCCAGCCTTAAATCTAGCTTGGACTGATATTTAGCTGCAGTTTTAAGTGCAACTTATTTGGTTGCATCGACCTGTTTAGGACGATGATTTTGATGACCACCAAGGCGCAAGACAAACTTAACACACACTAAAGCATGACCAGAGTCCAGACAAGTATTCTATGTAGAGCAGCAGTCCTGTATACACCCACAATATAGGTAGCTGATTACACTATGATCTATTTGAGTAGCAGAGAGAGGGCCCCAAGTAACACAATGGCGATGGCTGTGCCGGAAGTTGATGCTGGCACAAAGGTACCGAAGATGATCCCTATTATCTAACCTGCAGCCAGCCAGTTCCCATTGGCCACCTAAACGACTCTCATGTAAGCCTAGACGCCCGACCTGTGCATTCAAATCCCCAGCTAGTACTACGACATCTGTCGAGCGCAATTGGTTGAGAAAGTCACTCAGTTGGCGATAGAATTCATCCCTGGTTGCATCCAGGCTGCAATCCGTCAGAGCACAGGCAGAAATGACGAACAGACATCGTTTCTCTTACCAGTTATTTCTGACTTGAAATTTCTAGCTTAATAGCATACAGATGACTGTTGATAGCAGCTTTGGCTCAAGCGCTTAAAGCGACACCGACACTAGTGAAACGTACTTTTCGAGCAGATCTTGTACGGGGGTCTCTCAGATGCTGGACGCATCGATAGTAAAGCTTTCCAGAATCCTAACCAAACCTGAATATTATCTTATCTCCATCAAGGTGCGAATGTTGGAGGGATGTACCGACGAAGGTTCCTGGTTTCAGGATAGTTGTGTCACATATCACATTGGAGGACAGCTTTATGGAGGCAACTGTTTCGGGACTCAAAACGATACAGACGGACCAGAAGTCTTAGCATTGAAGAGCAGCTGAGTGAAGTGAAAATAAAGACAAGCGAAAATGATGATAAAAAATACAGTTCATATGTGACAGCAAAAGCAGTATAATAGCAATAAGTCGACCAATAGGTGATGGAGTTCGTAGTAAGGAGAGCTTGAGCATTTGCAGGAAAGTTGAGTAATTTCTTCGAAATCATTTCATACCGTAAGTTCGTATTTTGTGAGGACTGGGATACTTCTCATGAGCTCAGACCGTAGCATGTGGCTATCTTAGGGGTCTACTCCCCGAGCCTTTGACTCAAAGTCTAATTCACAAGGCAGTGAAGCAGCATCAGGAGCTGCATTTCCATGGTTTCCGGTGACCAAAATAGGTTCATACGCCATTCGTTCCATCTGGAACCTGAAGCCCATAAGCACCATTGGTTTGGAATCAAGGTTTCCCAACTCCCTTGGGTGGACCTTCAGTATCCACCAATCCGGTGATAGGCGCCGGAGATTCGTTTCCGCCCTTTCACTTCCGTTAAAAACATTCCTACCACGTAAAGGTAGTGTATAGAACTTCTGTGGCAGAGGCTGTGAACGCATTCAGTGCATTTGAGGGTAGATTTCAGAATGTTCCTGAGTGATTTTTAGTAGTTGCCTAGTTGGTAAATATGGAGCAGAATCTGTTGGTTCTATGTACCTTCCTGAGATGCGGAGTGAAGACGACCTACAAAGCAGCATACATCGAGTCACAGGATATCACGAAGAAATGATCGGATGAAACAGGATGTTGAGATGATAAAAATCCTAAGACCAATGAGATATTTGAACTCAATAAGATATACCGACTGTTAACTGAGCCAATAAAATATCAGAAGACTGACCGGTGACTGCGAGGATGACTTTATTCGATAAATATACATATATAAGTGCTCTAGATGGGAGGCGAAATTCCTAATTGGCTTCATGAAGCACAAAGTTGTCCAGTAAAAATTATCTCGACTGCACAGCAGCGTACATCAAATTTGAAGCTCAGAAATTTCTGTTTCATCAGCCAATTACTTGAAATGTAAAAGCTATATGACTTCCTTTTGGGGTCTATTTGAAAAGTTTTTGGTCTCATTCTCTGTCGAACTGATTCTTAGATTACGATGGACTGCATTCAACCTGTATTCCTGACTGCTACGTCAAACAGACTTAGTAAAACTTCAAACAAGAAATACTGCTTTTTATTGTCTACTGTCTCTGTTGAATCTCGTATGTCATTCGTATTTCTGTCCCTCTACATTCACTTTGCACAATACGTTTACTGTGCATCCGACTACTTATTCACAAGTCCATTTTGGTGGTGAACAACGAAAATTGCGTACATACCCCTCCCCCCCCCCCGGTTTAGTTTGAAGCCTCGACATTTACTTCCATGATGACAACTGAACTGATTTTGCATTTTTATATTCCTTTGCCACTTCACTGTTTACGTAGGTTGAGCTGCATCAAGAACGGTTTTAGCTTTTCAACTAAGGAGCATTCTTAGCCAAAGCCATAAAACCGCAAGTCTTAATCAGAGTGATTATCGAGTATTTGTTAATCGGAATAGTGAGACAAGCAAAAGTACCGAAATCACTTTTCACTCATGAAAAGGAATGTTTGACAAATCCAGTCTCTGATTTTGTGTCTGTTGCAGGTGCAAATATGTAGATTTGAAAGAAATATGAGAATTATAGTTTGACGACAAAAATTATTTTACGATTTCTACTTTTGAAATCATCCAGCTGGACTGGAATTTACGTATTGTTCACAATTGTCAACAGATTTAGACATTTGTTGTAGATTCGCTATCACTAATGCAGCTTTCTTATTATTACTTACAAGGAAATAAATAATTTTCGCCAAGGTCTGTTGGATATGTTCATGATGGATTTCGTTTGCATCCCGTTAGTGTACACACAGGTCAGTTACTAAAAATATTTTCATGATGATGAATTTACCGCATATTCTGATGGATATACTACCAGTTATTTTTTTATTACAGCATATTTCATTGGCGATATGAAACATGGTAACAATTTAACGCAGCATAATTACTACATGCAGACTGGCGTACTAAACCATAAACTGTGGTAGAACTAAACATATTATCCATGTACTGAAATTTCAGTAAGGGATGGGGCGAGATTCAAACGATCAAACTACTAATTGATAGCTTAGTACTTGAGGTGATGAGCACTGGTTACACTACAACTATTCAAGCTTGCCTCCAGTATAAAATAACTAACCATTTTTTTTCAAATGATGTGGTGTTTCCTTGTTGAGACTATTTCCTAGTATTATAAATGTTAACCGTGACTGTAAGAGTCGGTTCTATGGCATTGCGATGCTTCTTTAACTGTAAACTGATTTGCACAGTATGATTGTTGAAATCTATATATGAGGTATTTGTTGCCTAACAGAAGTTGTACTTACTTTGGGAAAATCTTATAATTTATTTAGTTTTCTGATAACTGCCTGCAACCAACATGCCAACAAATACGAAAATTCTACCCACTTGATACCTTTGATAGATTTGAACAACTTTATGAGATGATAACTAATGAAAAAGGTGCATGGGTCGAGGGGCACTGACCAGAGTATGCAGTTTCTAAACACTAATGTGAAATTCAAAATTCTGTCGCTTACGTACAACCAACACCTCAGTCAAACAAGTGGTGAGGGGGAACTGTAGTGATAATCACAATATATCATCCATTCAAGCTTCATAATGGAGAATTTATTTCATTCTGGACTCATACTGAATAGAGGGTCATCTGAATGTCCGTAAAGCTAAGATAACATTTATTGCTGATTGTTTCTTTGTGAAGTCCATTATCCTCGCTTACAAATTTAGCCTTATAGGATGTTGAATTTACTCAGAAATTGAACATGTATTTCATGGAAATTTCGGTTCAAGATTCTTGACCTGCAAGCCAACGGCAATCATTATTGTTGTCTTGGAAATTGCATTAGTATGATTGTGTCAACGGTTGAGGAGAGACTTAACTTTCGGATCAATCCGCAACCAGTTAACAAGAGTCAGGAATACATGAAGGAAAAGACAATAAAACGGAATTCTAACCTTGAAACCGAATAAACATGTTTTCGGATGCATTATATGGTTCCCTGTGATCGGCACTGGTAAGTACCTGGTTTATATAAAGACCAATGGTAATGTGTGAGGTTAGTCGGTGAGTTACAGTGCTAAGAGGATATTCTGCTTAGTACATGTCAGCTCAAAAATAAAAACACCAGACCGCACGTCCGGCACCAGTCTTATGCTTTTGCACTACTGATTCCCCAGTGGATAAGCTGAATGAAAACATCCAGTTAAAACAAACAGTATTATTGTTCAATGGTTTGAGTCACTACAGTCGGTATCAGTACGTTAAGATGGTAGCCAAAAAGGATTTAAACAAAGAAATCAAAACTATATTATCGTAAGTGGTCAAAGGTCATCCGAAATAAGGATGAAAGAATGGGGAGATAAAATATATTACGATTTAGCTCAAGATAGGTTGCGATTGCATCCCCATCGATCCTGAACTATGAGTCCTAAAATGCTCAACTGTCTCATTCCTTTGTTTTATGAATCCCAACAGAAAACCCTACATTCTCCTGCATAGCTTAGGACCTGTCCATTCTTTGTTTTTTCTAAATCCAAACACTGGCGTTACCACATACATTTGTAAAACACGACAGAACTAGGTCAGTCGATGAAGACAGGATGCAGTGCACTGCGGTAAGTTACATTCAAGCCTTTTTAGGTGGCGTTGGACTTTCGGGTGCCGTAAATGTCAGGAGTTGGAGAAAACTAGTCGATTATTTTGAGTTTTTTTTCAGCGGTTGCCAACATACCAGGGTTAATGTAACTTGCGAGGTAAGTGAGACGGTCAATCCACTCAAATAACTTGCATCATATTATCAAACAGTGATTAATGTAGTTCTGAAGAAATAATTTACATTCCATTGACGATAAATTTATTTCAAGCATTCCAAAATCAGTATTCACTGTTAAGGCAAATCTTTAAGTTGACACCCTCACCTTACAGGATTATATTGTAAGATTGTTCCAATTAAATTAAGAAATCTGCTGCAAGATTGATCCCCATCAAGTCGGAAGGGAAGGTTTACTTCCGTCAATGCATCTATGGTTAACTAAAATAGGGAAAGTGAATATCCTTGATGAACACTGCTCAACAGTAAAGTACAGTTAATTGCGGGCTTTCACATGACTACTGGCGTTCAAATATACAACTTTTGGTAAGGTAATTTATCAAACCTGTGTTTCAATGACAAACATTTCTGAAAGGAATCTTAATCCTCAGGTTGCAGCATTGAGCATCCTCGTATGCGCACTAGTTCATGGGTCTGATAGACAAGAAAAACATGGATGCCACACTCTGAACCAGATCTGAAACCTACCTCGTTCTTACGAGTTTCCTGTTCTCGAGCTTCATTCAGCTGTCAGATATTTATGAGGCCTAGAGAGAAAGAGAGAGAGAAAAAAACTGTTAGTTAAGCTAATCCCTCTATGATTATCGATCGTTTCTTAAAAACCAGTACTGCCGATGACTGAGACCATACCTGATTTCCACACTGCAACCTGAGCTGCCATCTGTGAATACTTCTGACAACAACCTGTCATGGTTCTCTACTGTCCCCCTCTTCGAAGTTGTTTGCAGCCTTCTCACATTAAGCAGGCTTTGTGGGTGATATGTCAATATCCGAATCAGGTCAGTAAACAGGAAGAAACTGCAGCTAGTTGAACTGGATACTAGTCGAATTACTTCCAGTGTTCAATCCTTCATATCAGTTGTCTTCCGTGTATGTTGCTAACCGTCACTTCAGTTTTTCTGGTATGTCTAAGTAACTATTTTATTGACTGACCATTAACTTCGCCCTCAGCTTTCGCTGTCATTGCGCAAAACTGTTTACTGACATCCCAATAAGCATTACTACAGTTTATGTAGTGCATTCTTTCATTTTTGTTTAGTTCACATATGCATTCTTATTCTTACGATACTTGGTTGGTTGGGTATCAAATGCAAAGTTGGATAAGTTTATATTCTTATGTGTACTGAAGCTAAGGAAAAGTCTTTTCCATTCTTTTTATAGGTTGTAACACTGGCGGTGTATATTTATTTCGTCGCTTCACTTGTTGGCCGTCAGTTTATATTAGATGATTCACCTTATTCATCACAAGTGAATTCGAAAGATCTATATTTTCCGTTTTTCACGTTTTTGGAGTTCATTGTGTATATGGGTTTGTTAAAAGTTAGTACTTTCAGTGTCATTATTTATTACCTACAGAAATTATTATTCTAGCATCTTTTCTGCATATTACTTCCTACTTATTTTCCATGACCAATAGCTGCTACCTTGACGTGGTGATCAGGCTTGCATATCACAATAATCTAACGAGCTACGCTGGTGAGGGGCTACGTTAGGGTGTATGATAGCAATAAGGCATTTTCCATGACTGTTCAGCAGTCCGCTGAAGTGACTTTCTCTCCGGAAAGGAAGGATAAAAAAACGTTGACCCTGAACATATCCCACTCCTAAACTCGTGCAACATACTAGTGCCGGTGATATAGGTTTACAGTCGAATTCAAGAAAGCAAACTAAAATCTCGAAATTCTGAAAAGACGTGTAACCGGCCTTAAATATATGTCCTTTTGGCTCTAGGATCATGCACTAACTCAAGAAGGACTGGTCTTCTACAGTGTGGGCAACCGAGATGTGTTAACCACCCTCACAACTCTATCAGCACCCAAGATCCCTCAGATCATTATTATCCGTCCACATCTTACCTTCTAGTCTTTCTTCACGTCTTTTGGTCAACGTTCTCACACCTTTAATTCCTTCCTACTCTCTAATCCTGTATACGATGTGCGTTCACGGAACACTATCAATGATCTCTTGAAATCGTGCTCCAGACTACACACTGAAGCTTTCACTGTCCGCACTCTCTGTCATACCGTCCAGAAAGCCGAAACTCAGGCATCTCGGGTCATGGATGTGTGCTATCTTTGTGAGATGCATGCAGGACCCACGCGCTTTTATTCACTTACCTTACCTGGTCAATATGATGAATCTTCAAAATTCACCCTTCGAGTTTCTGGAGATTCGGTGAATAGTCCTTTCGGCCTTGCAGTTGTAGATATAGCACTAAGTGCTAAGGCAGAAAGTTCACTGTTCGACTGGCTCCCGGTTGACAGTCGCCTATGCGCTCCTTTACTGAGCGACACAGTAAAGACTAAAAAGATAGATGAGACTCATCACTGTTTCTTTCTAATTTCTGCCTGCGCACTTACCGCTTCTCAGATGAAGTGAACAATGAGTTCTACCGAAAACTATTTAGCCTCCTGCTTAATGCCAGACGTTGTTGTTGCAGGTGATTTCGATGCACAAGTGGGTAGGCTAAGTTAGGCAGAAAGACACTTAGGCGGCACTTTCGGAATCCCAGAGGAACAAAGGGATAACGGTGATCGTCTGCTCCACCTGTGTCCTGATAACCAGCCATTTTTAGTGGCACGAACTTCAGATATGAAGAGAGACATCGTCTGACATAGCGTCACTGACCTCAACTCAATAGAGGACAAATAAACCATACTGCTGTCACTTGCCGTTGGAGAGGGTCGATGAAAGATTACCCCTCCTTCTGAAGCATATATTTGGATAATAATCATGCGTCAGTTCGAGTACGCGTACGCCTCCACCTAAATGGATGTGCGAAAGCTACAACAACAATAAAATTGCTAGTACTACCTGACGATGTGAGTACGAAGGCCACTTTCACTGCGAAACTCACTCGACAGTTATCGCAACAGGACAGTGTCACTCATTTTGAAGAATCTTGGTGCCAACTCGTCTGCTGTCAAAACAGCGTTAAAGACCATAACTAACTGTCAGAAAGTTTAGAAAAGGTTGGTTGATCTCAGCAGCTTCTGCTGAAATAATGAATGAGCGTGAACACATCCCTGCAAGCTCCGAGCACAGTGAGGAGGAAATGCAACTCACACGTAGACTGAAAAGCGTCTATGGCAATGACTGGACAGTGATGGTGAGCGTATGCTAAAGAGATTGGAAACGTAGCGCCTATAGGTAACGGTAGACAAATATTTAGACTTATCAGGGAAACTGGAGCGAAAAGGTCAATGGTTAGTGAGACGATAGAGGAGAAGGATGTGTCTGCGATTTGCTCACAAGGCAGGTAATTGCAACAAACGGTCGAACAGTCCAGGGAATAGTTCAGCAGATTTCTAGCTACTGTTTTGTTGCTCCCTATCAGTTGGACCTTGGGTGGAATATCGAAATAGGCCCTCCAACAGTTGCAGAAGTCAAGGAGCCTGTAGGTAACTTGGAACGAGGAAGAGCAGAAGAGCCAAACGGACTAGTTCCAGAGCTACTTAAGAACGGTGGTAGAGGAATTTTGGTCGAGTCATACGAAGTGTTAACTACCATATGGGAGTTAGATATTATCTGACCTGACCGGTCTCAATAAATGACTGTTCTAGTCTTCAAGGAAGGTGAGAAATCGTCTTGTAATAACTACAGGAATCAGACTGTCGGACAGATAATCTAAGTTCTACGGTCATTAGACGCCTGAGTGGGGCTCGGGAACAGAAAACTCGAGGAAACCAGGCAGGCTGAAGACCTGGCCGTGGGCTTATTGACCAGATATTCACACCCCCAGGTTCTTGAACGCACGACTTATATTTCTCGACCTGAAACCGACATTTAATTCCATTATTCAAGAGATCTTTTGACAATGTCTTTCACTAGAGAGGGTGTCGAGTAAGTAAATCACTCTGCAAAAGGCTCTGTAACGTAATACTTGTTAGAACTAATAGTAAGGTACCAAATGATTTTGTACATTGAGTGATGTTTGTCGAGGATGTCAACTGTCTCCATCTCTGCTCAACTTTGTCGTAGACATTTTCATAAGGGTCTGCTCGTCATCTGACTACAGAAATTAATCTTACCACTGAGGAATCCGTATTAGATCTAGAGTAAGCTGATGACATTGTCCTGTTAGGTGAAGACCTTGACAGGATACAGAGTCTTTAGGGGGGGGGGGGGGATTTGAGAATGTTTAGGGTGAACTTCTCGTTACTTAAATGTAAACTGTTGCTTCAGGACTGGTTTTCAGCGGTGCCCTATCTAACAATGGAGAGTGAAGTGGTTGAATGCGTTGACCTTTCCACGTGCCTGTGGAGTTGGGTCAGTTCTTTTCAGTCAAAGACGCGATGAAATCTCTGCACGGATAAAAAACGGTTCACTTTTCTTTCGCCAACTTACGCCATTTGTTGATTGCCTGTGATATCCGATTGCTTACTAAGGGTCAAGTGTACTACGCTGATTTTCGCTCTGTTCTCCCATATGACCATGAAATATGGTCACTGAAGGTGGACAGCATGAGGGGCCTTGAGGTGTTATGGTGTCACCATGTCAGTAATGTAGAACTCATTTGTAGACTTTTATAAAAATAAAGAAACTCAATCGATGAGGTTGTGAATCTCCATTGACTCAAGTAACTGGAACATGTGTTACACCTACTACTATCTGTCTGCCACATCTCATAATATTGACTGAAGGTAGGTTCAGGGTGGAAAATAATTTGTGACGGTTAGACTGAAATATGGCATCATCCAGTGAAGGATATCACTGGGATACGTAAGGTTGAGTTTTCCTCGTGGTAATGGATCTACGCCACAACCACCTGAGCAACAATTGCTACGTCGATGTGGCGGTTGGGCTTGCCTCTCGCAATCACGCCTAAGGAGCTATTCCAACTCCGATGATTATTCTTGAAGTCGTTCCACACGAAAAGCATCGATTATATGGCGGTTCGACTAGAATTAGTTATTGTCATAGGTTAATAGCTCACGCTATGCCGTGTGTAAAATGCTGCGCTATGATGGGAGTCTGAGGGCTAATTTGTGGTGCTGGTTGGACGGGGATATGACAGCAGTAAGACGTTTCCCTTGGATGACCAGCAATGCTGTGCTGATGCTGCATTCTTTATGGGAAGTAGGGGGTTAGAAGAGATAAGTCGCAAAAATAGTGGTCTGTTATCATCCTGCGGATCAAGAAAAGGAGGAATTCTACACACAACTGCAATCAGTACTAGACAAGACTCTATTTGGTGACATCAAAATCCTAATGGGTAACATGAATGCCAAACTGGGAGCGGACAACACAGGAAAAAACCAATCATGGGTCGAGAAGCACTCAGTGAAATGAATGAGAACAGAGAACTGTTTGCAGTTTTCTGTGCTTTCAATGATTTGGTGATTGGAGGCAGTGTGTACAAACACAACGATATTCATAAAGCGACATGGACTTCACCAGATGGGCAGATAAAAATAAGATCGGCTTCATCTCAATATGAAGAAAGTGGAGACGCAGTCTACTGGACACAAGATCAAGAAGATGAGCAGACCACTCACCGTCTGGTGCAAGGAACCTTCTAAATCAAGTTAAAAGTCTTCAAGGAAGCCGGTGATAGACCACAGTTCAAGTACAACACCCAGAAACTGAAGGACAAAACTACAAAGGACATCTTCATGTCAGGTATCAGGAAGAAATGGGAGACATTGAGCAACATTTCTGAAGGAACCTGCGTGGAAGAACACTTGAACTGTTTGAACGCTATGTGGAAAAAAACCTTCATAACCGTGTTAGAAAGGAAGAGGAAACAAGACGCGGAATGGATCTCAACGGATACATGGAAGCCGATAGAGCAGGGAGAGGAAGATTATGAAGCAGAAGATGAACCAGTGCAAGGATGCACAACGAAATGCGTACAACGTACAAAACCAGCTTGCTATCTGGGAAGAGGTCAGGGCAGACAACACCAATGAACGATAGTAAACGAAACTTAGTTACCAAATAGGAAAAACAAAGGAAATGATGGGCTGACCACTTCAGAAAACTCTTCAATCAACCACCACTTGAAACTCGTCCAGAAATACCACCAGCAGCTCAGCCACTGAACTATCAGTGAAAACAAACCCTCCAACAAAAGCAGAAGTCCTGAATGCCATAAAACTGCTGAAATCCGGGAAAGCAGAAGGATCAGATGGAATTCTTTTAGAAGCACTGAAAACAGACGCAGAGATATCGGCAGCGGACATGCTCACACCACTACTGCAGAAGGTTTGCAATAAAGGAAGGAAAGGTACCTGCCAATTGATTGGAAGGAGGGCTACCTTGTCAAACTTTCAAAAAAGGGAGACCTAAGTCTTTACAAGAACTGGCGCAGCATCATGCAGCTGTCCACCGCAAGCAAAGTATTAAGCCGCATCATCGTGGAGAGACTAAAAGATGCTCTGGATTCAAAATTACGACTAAAAACAGGCTGGCTGGTTTCAGGAAAATCAAATCATATGCGGATCTAATTGCAACGCAACGCTACACATCATAGAACAGAGTATAGAATGGCAGTCAACTCTCTACCTCAATTTTATCGTCTTTGAAAAGGCCTTCGACAGCGTCGACCGAGAAGTAATTTGACTGGCAGTTGCTTCAACACCACGGTTTCAGTGCCACAAACCTTTATCAACCTCGTTCAACAGCTGTATGACAAGACCACATGCCAAGTGATCCACAATGGAAAGCTCAGTGACGCCTTTGGAGTGAAGACAGGTTGACAGGTAAGACAAGGCTGCTGCCTACTATCACCCATGATCTTCCTGATCGTGGTGGACTGGGTCATGCAGCAAACCGTGAGGAGCGAGAAAAGGGGCATACGCTGAACCGGTGAGAAGAGCCTAGAAGATTTGGATTTCGCCGCAGACGATGATGATTTATGTCTAATGTCGCACAAACTTGAAGATCTACAGGCGAAAACTGACAAGTTGACAGAAGAGGTGAGGCAGCGAAGATGGGACTTCAAGTGAACGTAAAGAAGACAGAGGTGATGGTGATACCGAACCGACGCCACCACCACCAACAGGCTCCAGTCGCCATCAACGGGAGAAACTTAAAAACAGTAGCCTCTTTTACCTGTCTAGGTGCTGCACCGTTTCAACTACAGGCTGTGGCGGTGGCACAGATGAGGACGTCAAAGCCAGGATCGGAAAAGAAGAAAGTGGAGATTGATTGGGCATACACTGAGAAGGCCAGTTGGGGACATCACGCACCAGGCCGTCGAGTGGAATCCAAAAGGGAAACGTCGAGTTGGGTTCCGAGGGTGACATTGAGGAGATCATATGAAGAAGAAATGAAAGGTTAAGGGCAGTCTTGTCGCCAGGTTGAAAAGACTGGAGAGAAGAGAGTGCAATGGAGACGTGTTACTGAAGCCCTATGTTTCACTAGGAACCCAAGGGAAAATAATAATAAATCATCCTACGGATGCCGTTGCCTGCGATAGGGACTCATATGCGACAGGTTATAAGATAGGTGAAAGCAACCCCTATATGCGAAGAAAAATATGTTAGTTTTCATGCAATCTCATCAGACTCAACTTTACCAATATAGTTTTTTAAGAAAATTCGAGCTTACATTATTGTGCTGCGGTTTGATCGGAACAGAAAGCTGTGTATAACCATACAGTTTCCAGATTTATTCACATGGCGTATTTGTGAAACATTTTCCGTTCATTGAATCTTAATGTAGGTTTACTCGATTAGTTATAATTCTTCATCCAAAGGCGACTTTTTGTAGCGTTCATCATAGTATATTGTTGCAATACCTTACTGTCTAACAATTAGATTACACTTCTGAAGTTCTTTTTTCGAGCATTCATAATATATCATGATCAATTGTCCTATGCGCTGGTAGCAAAGAATAATGTTCACCAAGAATATATACTCCTCATCATTGTACGTGTCACATATGCACTTTTCTCGACTTTTCGTATTGGTATTCTCTTAAGATGTTCTCTGGTAAGCTGTAAGTGTACCAGCAACAAATTTCAGTCAACAAAATATAGATTTTTGTAATGCCGGAAAATAGTGTATGTATGTTTAAAATGTCCTATTTAACGGTCAGTACCTTATAAGTTAGTGCTCAAATTTAACCGAGTTTGTATTGAGACTATAATATTTCGCTATGATAAACTGTAATCACAAACAGTCAAAATCAACATAGAACCTCGCACACAATTGGAGCAGTTCAAGTTGTCACACAGTAGTATACAAAGATAAAGTGTATAAAAAAGATGGATATCTAAACAGACATAGGTGTATATGAAGAGCGGGAATTTAGAAATTAAGGTTAGTCAAAATATTTAAGCTTATAAAACATCAAGAGTGAATACATTTGGTGTTTATTGTTACCGATTTTCAGCGATTTCACCAAGAGTTTTCAACCTCTCAACCAGGTAGTCTGCACCTCCCTACACCCGTTTGGACCGACAGTTTTTGACTCTGAAGCTGATAACAATGTTTAGTGAAAACTGTCAACAAACAGTCTTTCCGAAAAACTACCAGCTTTAATGCTAATCATTTTTTTATCGTTCTCTGTGTATGTTCACCAACTGTTGAAAATGTTATTGATTTGTAAAATTACTACTTTGATAAGTAATTAAGATGAATAATTCTGTCATATTTTTGAACTCGTTTTCCAAGGGAACATCCTGAATTTATCGTGTTAGGCTTTCGTACATCTAAGCATTTTTACTCCCTATTGTACACAATCAATCATCTTTTGATAACAGTGAGTCTATTTACCTATTCTCTTTCCATTTTTATTCCGCCTTCAATGCTAACCGACTGGTGTTATTCACTTAGTTTAACTGTTAATTAATTTGTTAAACGCCACTTAAGATAATGTTAGCATGTGTCGATAACTGCAGCCTGATTAAACGTAGTCCATGCTGAATGAATGTACTAACTTGGTGTTTGATGTATTCGCATTGATTATTTATCAGTCCCCATTGACTTAACTCTAGGAAACCAGTTTCTTTGTGAAAATTATTTTCTTTTTTGAAGTATTTTTCTTTCACAATAAAATTAGTTGGTGTTTTATGTTTATCACATTGAATTTTAGTTTTTAACTCCATTAATCTTGAATAAACGTATGTAGAAGTGTTTTCTAGTGACAGAGTAAGTTTTTTTTATTTGAGTAAATTGTGCACAGTTTCCTTTTTCTATTTTAGGTTGCTGAAACACTTGTAAATCCCATGGGAGAAAATGATGAGGATATTGATATTAATGAGGTGATAGACTTTAATTGGAAAGTAAGTATAATGTATATTTGAAAAGCTTGACTTGAGTATTCTATTGCTGACATATGATAAAAATTTGTAGTTTGGCATCCGGAGGGCGATGGATTGGTATTTTAACAGAATAAACTTATTGGTTGAACCTATCGAAAATCTCAGCCGTAATTAATCTGAAAAATGTTGAAGTATTTAAAGGTAGGTCTGATGCATCTGATGCTGAGGCTAGATAAAAATGAACTCATCCATACTGTAAACAACTATATCAAGATAGAAAAATCTGCCTACCATGTTTCATTGTCTCCATACATCTCAAACCTGTCAGATGGGGCGCAATGTGTCACATGTCGTGTGATACATTGTTGTTTCACTATTCTAGTATTTTATTTCAATTTTTTCATCCCAAGAAGTCTGATTAAGTCACGAACATTTCTAGCCTCTCAATAGTTATGCTTTCAAAAGAGTTAGTCATAATGTTTATCAGTCGTCATCGTAATAAGTAGTACTAATTTTGTAGCTTTTCGACCTGAAACTAGTTACCTTGAAATTCTTCCTCGCCATCATCATTATTTCGATTGAATAGCATCATCTGACTTCATCATTGTTTGGAAGTCAGACTGTTAGGTTTACTTTAAAATTAAAAGTGTCTACTCTATCCACACGACATAGATTCTGAAAAGTATTTATTCTTTCTGTACTTTGTTAACTAGACCGGTTGGTGTATTGTTGATGGGATGAAATCAAGTGTTCCGCCTATTGTACGAGACATACACTGGCAACAGTCGGTCATAGAATTGCCACACACTGAAGAATCGAAACGATTAGCTTCTCAACCATTCAGGGGATCTACATATAACATAAAGTAAGCCATGCTACTGTTTAAAGTATTTTATTTCAACAAAAGTAACTACCGCATACTTTCTTTGTATCTCAGTTTTTTTCCATACATTATATCAGCAATTCCTCTCTTCGTTGCACGGATCTCGAGGTACACTATGTCCGTTGTAAACACCCATGACCATAGTTAACCATGTTACTACTTCCACATGATGTATGCTGTTACGTAAGGAGTTCAATCTCTCACGATAGAACACTAGAAATGACCTGTAGATGTAGACTGACGTCGTAACCTCTTCCGAAAAACCAAAACCGTAGGGCAACTAAACTAGCAAGATTTTTGTTCAGAATATTTTTCCTCCATTATATTATAAAGTGTTTCAAATTTGTCAACTGTACTGTGGGCCCAAAACTTTCGTATTTCTTTTGCCGGGGCTGTAAGTAACTGGAGGTCTGCATCGAGGTGTTAGTATTTAGAGGAAAACTGTCATGATGTGAAATGAGATTGCCCATGATCTTAATAAGAAGTCGTAAATCTTTGAAGTTTGTTACAACCAATCATCTTGCTCCGAAGTTTCGGTAAGAAGCACGCGAACCAACGTGTAAATATCAGATTGGTTGAAGAGACAAAAATCAATCGAAGATCTAAATCTAGGATGGTCTGAAAATATCCAAGTTCGTTATAAATACATATATGAACCCTTGTTTTTTGTATATGTTTTTGACGTTGCCACACCTGTTATCTTACCTCTTTTTCCCATAACGGAGGAGCTGAGCAACCATTAAGGGTAGTATCTGAAGGTTCTGTACAAGCGTCCATGTATATATATATATATATATATATATATATATATATATATATATATATATATATATATATATATATATATATATATATATATAACAGGCTATATCAAGCCACTGCAAGAATGTAACAGGTGACAACAAGGTTATGATAAGTGGTGACAAGGTTATAAAAAACACCGTACATGGAATTAAATCAAGTGTTCGGAAGATTCACAGTTTGTGATGAGAATGAAGTCCAATCATAGTTTCATTTGGAGGCAAATATACATAGAAATTGATTTACATTGTTGACTAACATTGGTTGGGAAGTATTTACATTGATCAGGCCAAAGTGACAAATATCAAACAACCATCCCACTTGTTTTTCTCGAACAGTTTTTCAAAAAGTACTTCATAATATAATTGCTTGTATTATGAAGCGATCGCTCCCGAGTCCGAATCCCGGTGGGAAGAACATCACTCACCTAATTGACGATTTCCGAATAGGACAAAATTCGCATCGTGGATTCTACCGCTAGCCACTATCCATAATGCCTGCGGAAAATAATGTAAGATAAAAGCGTCAAAGAACCGATTATTGGGTCCAGTGGGTTCAACATTTTAAAGGTCAGTTCATTTACTCTTCTCTGGCTTCAGACCAGATCGGAGCTCAAGCTAAAAACTTATCTGGGCTCCGATGCTGGCTACAGTGGTCGAATTTATGTAAAAAGTAATAAGGATTTTAGTAGTAATTGCTGATGATATGCTCCGGGAGTACATAAAATAATGACCTTGGATCTCTACTTGTACTGGGTGGAGGGTATTATTTAAGATGCGGTAGTCAAATATTGTCCCCTTAAATTGATTCCAGTGATTAATTATCTCCATTTTGCAAGAAACACTAGAAATCTCCTGTAATGATCACAGAAAAACTAATCTAGTTGATTTAATTTTAAGGAGCCATAAACATTAGACCTTAGATGAGAGGCAAGATACCAAGTTTGGTATTCATCACGAATCGACATCAGTTGTACAACTATTAAAAATCCCGGGAGTAATGGAACTCCTTAGTGGGCCCTACTCATGACCCTCCCTGGGATCGAACCCAGAACTTTCAGGTCCCGTGGTGACTAAGTCGCCATTGAGCCACTGGGCGGGAAATCAACGGTTCACACTGTCCTACTTCTCTCACTTCGTTATGTAGCACAACCTCACACAACAGGTATTGCTCATTGCCTACTACACGAATATGCAAAAGGCTCCTGAGTACATTTTGATTCAATGTGAATTCACAAAACTATTTGAAAACGGATTTCCAGCATTAATATGACAATGTTGCATCAGTTAGTTCCCTATAACTAGAATTCCTGTCTTACATACAGTCGCTTTTCTCATATTATTTTCAATTCTTATCCTACAAATTAAGATACAATATGCTTTTTTGTGGCTTTTTCATTAGAATTTAGCTGAAGGTACTAGTGATGTTTACACACCCTACGAAGTATTTACATTCCAGTTTAATTTCAGCATTAAAAATGTTATACACTTTAAGAAATGCTATTTATTAAGTTGTCTTTAATTTAAGTTGTGCGTAGTTTTTCAAAATATGCCTAAAATCCTATGAGTAGAAGTTTCAATGCTCAACATTCTTGCTGTTAATGTTTTATTTATGCATTTTCAGTCTCCCAGTCAATCCAGACTTATTCGGATCTATGGTGTCTTTGTCTATGCTTGGTCATTCGCAAGTAAGCTGATGAATAAATCTCTAATTGGAAGTCATTTTTCTGAATTATTTAGCTCATCTCATCTACTCAGCATTTTAGTTGCTGGAAATATAACCCTTGTAGAATTTATTGATACTATTTCCTATTTGAAGTTTTGATCATTAGGCGTGAAACAGTACACCAGTCGTAAGTGTAGCGTCCATTCATCTGTATGTGTACTCATACCCGTTGCAAAAGAGAGGTGGCTATCGTGCCCCAGTGACCTAGTGGACAACATTTTGGTGTTTGAAGTGATGAGTACTCGTTTCGAGTCTCAATAGGGACAACCTCACTCTTTGGGTTGTAGGCACATTCAGATGATGAGTCCAGAGCAGGATAAAACGTGCGTTTTGGATTCCACTGCTAGTCGCCAAGATGAATATAATCTGTGTTCGTTTGCATCGAAATAGGCTAGGTGTAAAATATGCCGGCACTTCTGCTACCGATGTATCTTTGTGTTTTCTTATTCATTACATCACAGCATTTGTTTCATATGATATTGCAAAGGAAGATGAGTAGCATCTACTCGAGGATTTTACTGCTGTACATTATCTCCGTTTACATGAATTTATGTCCACGTACATGCTTGCAATATTAATGACGCAGTTAGCCGGATGGTTTTATGATACTATCTCACTTAAATGTTAGATTCCTGGCAGCGAAGATGTAGTCTCTACAGTGGGTGCTTTGCAATTTTAGTTATCAAGCAAAACATGTTCAAAGTCTTATAGTTAGATTGGACTATAACGTTGTCTAGTTCCACCAAATATATATATGTATATATTGTATTGGTGTTTTTAGGATTTAACAGCTTTGCGTCATTTCAGTCGACAAAGCACTACAGTTATTCCCACCAGGTTGATGTCTATAGAAAGCGCTCTTCCCACTGAGACTGATAACAACACAAGGTTGAACGATGATGGGCATTTATCTGCGGAAGCTGGATTGTTAGTTGCCGCTCCTCTTACTCCTGTTACAACAAGCCGACTACTCCATGAACCGATAAAAGAGGAAGATGAGGAACACGAAACTGATGACCAATCTCTCGGTGGATTGAAAGACAGTGGGGAAAGTATGATGAATAAAAAAGCACACCTGAAAAAGATTTGAAAAATAATATTCGTAAGTGTAATTTCACTGACGGTTCTATAATTAACTGTCTGTGTTTGTTATCTCTTGCATGGAAGATAATTTCTAGATTAGAAATTGCTGCCTTTTTATTGTTGACGTGGTCTGTAGGTAATATATGACTATATGTTAAACAAGTAGTCACTACACCATACTGAACGAATATACTCGGCACAAAATGAAAAGAAATTAGCTAGCTAAACAGAGGTCTGTTTTACAGAGAAAATCTCACTCAGAGAAGTATAAGTACAGGCGTCTACAAAATAGGATTTCGGTTATTTTTAATAAAGCCTTGAGCCACCTTTGTATTCACTGACTGATCATTTGACACGTATACCACCCGTTCAGCAGATTCAGACAAACGTTTATATGTTTCTCATGAGGCTATCTTCTGAAGAATCAGGCACTATTTAATGTATCTAGTATCTAGTGATAAACAAACTCTGTCATCTGACTAGGTTATTATTCTAATTAAGAAGTTTTAAGATGGCAAGTTAACACTTAGTGAGGAATTCCCCGTCACTAAATGTCATTGTGCTGATGGTTTCACTGTGATGAATCTGGATAGTGTGACTTGATTTCAAACAGTGGTGAACGAAAGAACATGGATGTATTGCTGAGAGAAAAAGAGATTACATTGGTGTACATCTTATATGGTGTAAATCACTAACTGTTTAGTACTTAGCAAGGAATTATCATAGTACGTTGGCAGCTGACTATTTGTTCTAAGGCTTTGAAATTTGGCGATAATGTCGTTCTGCACAGCATTGTGAAATCATGTGATAACTGGTGGTGATGATGGGCAGTAATAGCCTACACCTTACAAATTTAAATTTATTTCACACCAGTAACCATTTAAACTGAATCCAATTGGTGCTAGTATACATTTCTGTCTCTTTATTTCTTTGAAATAGGCTTTGATGTCATTCTCCGAAGAATACATGGGCTCTACTGTTAGTGCTAAAGAACCACCTTTTTACTTTCTGCACTCGGATAGATGTGATATTTTATATATAATACTACAATCATTAGTTAATTGAAACATTATATGATTTTTGAAAAGTTACCAGCGCTTGTACCCTGTTTGGATGACTATTCTCTTCTTGCTGCTTACTACTATAATTATGCAGAATACTTTAGTCAAAATCCCTTTAATAAAATATCCGGTTTTTTTAATCTCTTTGTCTTCTAGTTGGTATTCATCATGGGGTGACCATCACTTGAAGGGACATTGGAATCCTGGAAGCACTGGACAGCTGTTTCGTCCTAGTGTGCACCCACGACCCCGTCTAACAGGGATTGGACCCACACCCTTCAGGTTCCGTGGCCAGCACGTTACCATTGAGCCACTGGGTTGGAATCCAGTTGTCCATACTTCCTACTTCTGTCAGTTGACGAAATTGCGTGACCATCACCCAGTATCATCGTTGAGTAGTTATCCTTACGTCCACCAGGTTCGCCCCACCGGTCACAACTCCTCATTGGAACTTCAGGAATCACCTCTCGAACACAGTCACCAATGAACACTAGATTAATCCAATTTGGGGGTTTGTTGATTTCCGATTGGAATTCATCATGGACAGATATCAGTTGGAGGAACATCGGAAACCTGGGAGCATTGGACAACCGTTTCGTCTTAGTGTGTGACTCCTTAGCAGTGTGCATTGATGGCCACACCAGGGATCTTAGTAATCAGTTTTCTACTCTGTAGTTGGGAGTAAATTAGTCTAATAGCTAACGCATATTGATGGTATCGTTCCAACCATTTTCCCTCCGTATTATAGATAAGTAACTGCATTATACGCGAGACAGATACAAAATCAACGTAGAACCCCACACACAAGTGCATCGGCACAAGTTGCTACATGTCACGTAGTATACTAAGAATAGGTAAATGGAAAAAGAGTGATATCAAAGTAGACAGAGTTGTGTGAGAGAATAAGCAATCTAAAGATAATTGAAGATACTAGTGAGTGCGCCATTGTGTTCGATTTCAGCCATATCACCAAGAGTTCTCAACCACTGATTCCTTTCGTCTCGTGGACTGTAGGCAGTTTACATCTCCCCATGCATCTCAGACCCACAGCCAGGGACTTCGTCGACTAGTGCCACGTCTTGGCCTAGTCACCCTAAATCGTTTCCCAACCCAATGTAGCTTCACCCTGCATGGCACGTCGTGGTAGGCAGTGGCTTGGCTTACGCAGCTGAACAAGGTTCATAACCCCATCAATCGACTTGCCTTTCTTGCTTAGTACCCATCGCTTGACCTCAACATTACTCTCACATGATGATCCCACCAAATGCGAAGAACCTCACAAAGACAGGTAGTCAAAACCCAGTTGAACACAATCGACTGCTCTGTTAGTGTGTATAATGCGTATTTTCGAACTGTATGTGCTTCTGAAATCTATCGTTGGTTTGTGAAGCTGAAGGCTCTATCGGGATCTATATGCACCCTAAAAACTAGCTGTCAGAGCGTGATTTAGGGAAACAACAGTTACTAAGATGACCAGAGGTATGATATGGTGGATTCTGAAGTTTCTCAGGAATGAACATCCGTTGTAAAGATAAGAAGAATGCATCGTATTGGTCAGGAAATATCATGATGAATAATCACTTGGTTTCAGTGGCTATTAAGTAAGAAGATATTAAATTTATTCTCACAAGCTGAACCACACTAACTATTCAAGCAATACAGCTAACAACTAAACTTTTTCATTGAGATTAAAATAAACTTTGTTTATGATTGCGAAATCCCACCGTTGCTACACAGACAGACAAACCAACTGTTTATAGACGTCCATCAATTCATGTTATAAACGTAGTCTAAACAAGAACTATGTGAGAACTTATTTGAAACTGGAGTGAGCTGTTTACACATTGTTCTTTGCTTGGTGATTAAGCTGTTCTTTAGATTGAGTTCTTCCCTGTGAGTTTTGGATAATGTTTACCAACCAAAATCCTTGCTGACGGAAAAATTCATTCCGACCATGCATACTTTAAGCTCTTCATTTCAAGGAATATTCTATTTCATTTGATAAGACATCTGTGTAGCTTTCACCTTTTTACCAGTAATAATAATGTCGTCCTTGTATTATCCCGTCGTTGACTGGACAGATTTGATCAGTCTCTTGACATATGGGCTCCTGTGCGAATGCCTCGATATTGCCTGTGTTTCAGTTATATATTAATGGTGGATAGTGGCTAGCAGTGGGGTCCAGGACACGCGTCTCGTCCTGTCCGGGACTCACCAGCTGAATGTACCTGCCTCCCAGCGAGTGACCGACTATAGCCGTAGCACAAGGAGTGGCTCAGTGGTCTAATGGATAACGTTCTGTCGTTTGAAGCGATCGGTCCCGAGTTCGAGTCCCAGTAGGGACATCACCCACCGGGGGCAGCTGATGAGTCTTAAACAGGACGAAAAGTGCGTCCTGGGTCCCGCTGCTAGCTACTATCCATCATTAGTAAAAATAATAGCGGTCGTATTGTTCTTCGTGCACCATCCACTAAATTGCAAAATATGATGAAGAGTATGCTAATTATAGTTTTCGTATTAACACTTATAGCTGATTATAATTTTTAATCGTACTATGATATACAGTTGTGCACTGAAAGGTAGAATCATCATGACTAAAACAAAGAAGAGCATGATAATTTGCATACGTCATAGAATAATAAATGTACAGAATACCTTTTCAATGCAGTCGCATTTACATTACCTAAAAGCGAACTATATTTTTTGCTTATTCACAAAAGGTCATCTCATCTTGGTGTGGCAGCTTTGAGTAAAGGAAATACAGATGGTATATTTGTTGTACTTTTGATCCAGGTGAAATTGACTTTGCTGGACGGTGTTGTAATTTAACTGTGGGAAGTTTGTCGACCTATTTTGAATTACCGTAATTAATTTTGGTTGCTTATGGAATTTGATGCAACCAGCCAACTATGGACAATAGTAGACAGATATGAAGAGGAGCACACAAGAGCATCAGTTCAAGATTAATGCTTCACAACGTTATCCAAGTAACTGGATAGAATAATAATATAAAAGCGGAAGACAGCGTGAAGAGAACAAATTCTCCGCATACATTGTATTTCAGTCCATTCTTTTCAGCTGCCTGCGTACTGTTGACATTCAGATAGTGAGATGTATATAGATTAAAATGCTTCATAAATTGAAACCTATTCGCGTGAAGCAGGAAAGATGTAACGTCTCAGTAGAAAATTTGAATATTGCGAGGTGACAGTTAGTAAGAAGATAGTCGCGAGTAAAACATGAGCTTGTAGAAATGAAAGTGAATGGAAATCAATCAGTTGTAATTATTATTAGGAGAGAAAAAATGATAAGATATCTCTAAGTGACTCACCAAAGTGGTTGTGGGCTTACTGCTAAGTGTTATTGATCACGAAGACCAACATTTTACCTATTAATTGAGATAGATTCTGTTTGTAGAAGCCTGGTGGAATAAAACTATATCAATGATTCCAAAGACAATTTTATCGTCAACGTAATATCGCGTGTTGGATAGTTGAACTTCTAATGCCACTTGATCCTTTAAGTCACAGATTTCTCAGAATGTGTTCAAGGAAATGCAGAACTTCTAGTCTATTTGTCACCTAAATGAACCTACTTAAGCAAGTAAAGGTGAGGTAATAAGCAGCCTAACTTTGTCAAACGGTGTTCAGTGTGGTCGATTTCGAACTAACAGCTTGACCGTTTATTCCCATCATCTTGAGGATCCAAATCATGTCAGTTTACGCGGCTGAAACCAACCGTTGTAGACTCGGTGGAGTGATGCCATGTCTTAGTCCGGTTACCTTTAAGTGGCTCCCATTCTAATCCTTAGTTGGGTAAAGTGGTAGTGGTGGTTGGATACGCGCAACACACTCAAGCCGCCTCATTCAATGACGGTTCATGATCTCATCGACTTACCTTCCTTGCTTTGTACTCTGCGCATGACCTCAACAACGCTCACATAGTGATTCCACCACACAAAACCAGTGCTATCAAGACACCTATGGCCATGAAGATGTAACCTCTCTCTCGCTTTCATCTCATGCTTAATGATTGACATACCGAACAGCAGTTCAGTATACTTATTCACTGATAAGTAGTTACGAATGTTGTCGACACCATAAGTGACGTACGCCACACTAGGCTTTCGTTTCTGAACTGAGATCAGCAATCAACCCTTACTAAGTGAAATGGTAAACGCACTACACCGTTTTATGCCCTATTTTTGAACTGGGGTTCGATATAAGACAGTCCAAAATCATCATCTTACACTTGAAAAATGCGGAAGCAAATTTTGGCGATGGCTGCATTTTGTCAGCATCTTTGATAAACAGGATTGATTGACAACCCTAATTTCTTTATATTTGTCAACCATTTATTTTTCCAAGTCCACTATTCTTGCCGGACATACATTTATGCGTAAACTCTTTGCACGATAGCATCCGAAACCTGATACAACTCCCTACTTCAGATTCAACAGCGACTTCGAAAAATATAGAGTAGCTCAATAAAGATGAAAGTAGTCTGTGCCCTCCACACCAGACTGTAGCTGAATCATACATTGAAATACTGCGACTGGCCATCTTGTTCAACATATCCTGGTTATTATTGGGAAATAAGTTTTAAACAACCTTGTGAAATCTATATAAATCTGCAGAAAACGTGGTGTCTGACCTACGCTATTATAAGTAACTACTGGATTTGTAAGAAACTGCGTCTTAAGAAGTGTAAGTCATATTCGCCTTGTTCGTATTGTAAAATTTCCAATACTTCTCTTTGCTCATTAGGGTTGGAAAATTCCTTTCCCTCGCAGTATCAGAATGTAACGTCGATTTCAGATATCGAGCTACTGATGTATTACATCCACTATTATTATTTTTCCCTTGGGTTCCTATTGGAACATAGGGCTTCAGTAGCACGCCTTCATTGCACTCTGTTCTCTCCAGTCTTTCAAACCTGGCACCACAACCTTTCATTTCTTCCTCACATGATCTCCTCCATGTCACCCTCGCTTCAGACGCTCAACTCGACGTTTCCCTTTGGATTCCACTCGAGTGCCTGGCGCGTGATGTCCTCTGTCGGCCTTCTCAGTCTATGCCCAATCCATCATTGCATCCACTAGCCCCCCAATATTCCGAAAGCTAATACTGTTTTGCAGG